TTCCGTTTCTCCTCTGGATCTGACCCGAAGTCCCTGGACCCGATGCCATTCTGGAGATTTATTAGTGAATCCTTCATCTGCAAGACAAGACATTTCTCCACTGTGATGCTACCCTAAAGGTCAGAGCTTTGGCATTTCTTTCTTCCCTCTAAAATACCTTAATCATCTGGTTTGGGATGGGTTGGGGAGGTGTGAGACACAATTCTCCAAAAGAATGAGGTGCAGGGTGAGCAGTTCTCTCCAGAGAGGAGAACAGCTCTCATTTATGGACTGTGTTCTCAGAGCCTGGTGTACAACCACCTCTTCAGGGAGTAGATAAAAAACCCCCTGGCTTAGTGCTGTGTGTCCCCTGCATCTATGAGATCTACATATGAATTCAGGGTTTAGGCAAAAAAACAGTTTGCTTTCCAAACTGGGATGCCAGAAACTAGATTCAAAATGTGCTAAGTAAAGCTTTTTTGGCCCTGTAGAATTCTCTCCTTGATGTGTAAGGACCCCTGGAGGTGACAGAGAAGCTGTGGCACTCTGTGATAGCCCTTTGGGACCTGTTGACCACCAGTGCATCAGCAGATGGATCTAAAGGAGACACTAGTGGAGGTAACACACCTGATGGACTATGGTGGAACCAGGTAATGCTGAAGGATTGTGAGTGGGTGGTGGGAGGACAGAGTGACCCTCTGGTCACTACCTGGCTGTGTGTTCTCACCTGGTCCAGGAGCATCACGGAGGATTTGATGATCTCACGCCACTTCTGTAGCTCTGAGTCATGATACTTCTGCTGGGACTCCAGTAACTGGGCCCACTCTGTCTGAGACTGGGGTAACCTGGCAGCAGAACAGCAGCAACAGTCAATCCAGGGAAACTGAAGTCAAGGAGGAGCAAAGGGGATTAGGGAAAGGAATCATAAAATCATCAAGGTTAGAGGAGAACTCTAAGATCATCAAGCCAACCATTAACCTACCAACCCACTATAGATGAGACAGTTCCTGTCTAATCTTTCCACCCTAAAGGGGAAGGTTTCCTTGAGCAAAAGTGTGTTTAAAGACTTGGGATTTTCCTGAATTGGATACCATGGCTGTTCTTAGGGAATAATGCAATGCCATGTGGGGACAGGTAGCCCTGTGCGGTTCCTGTGGTTTGTTTTTCCTAGCCATGCTCTGTCAGTCTTCACTTATTAATCTCCTCGTGGAATTTGTACAGGGATTTATCCTTATTATGAGTACTCTGCTCTCAAGGCAGGTGTGTGTAGGTATTCAGGCCCAATTCACTCTCCAGAACAGGGCTGGGTGCTGCTGAGGAGAGTGGAATCAGGACAGACGGAATCACTCAAGGTGTTTGGATCCCACAGATGGGCTCAGGTACTTCCACAGCAACACAAAAGTTACCTGTGTAGGGCCAGAAAAGATCTACTGAAGTAATTCCAGTAAATGCACATTCCATGCAAACTGGATAAAGTCCTGTACTTATAGTCCTATATGTACAATACTGTATTGTAGTGGTCCAAATAAACACCAAGAGTACCAGAGAAAGACAAAATCACTGAAAGTATCTATAATGACTTGAAGTATGTATCCATGGGACACCAGCAGGGCTATTACAGTGAAAATAGTAATTCCCTTCCCTAATGAGGAGAAATGAGAAATCCCATGAGACAAATCATGCCAAAAAATCAGCACAAGAGCAGCATGTGGCCAGGGATGGCTAAAGTCAAACCCAGCATAGCAAGGGAACAGCTGGGGCTGCAGAAAAGGGACATAAGGGAACAAAAACACCTTAGCAAAGTGGGCTCAGAATGTTCTCAACCTCTGAAAATGATGAGACTATTCAGGCCCAAATTCTCCTCTGGGTACAAAGGGTTTTTTCCTAAGACACTGCTCTTCATACAGAAGGAAGTTTAGCCATTAGAGGAGGGGGAGGTGACAACCCTGGCTCAAGATTGCTACACATTTATTCACAGAGCATCCTCTCCTATGTGGGATGCTGGGAAGAAGCAGAGATGGCCTTAAATCACTGTCTGCTGCTGCTGCAACTGCTCACCAGCTTCACATCTGGAAATGCTCATGGCTGTACTTCAGCGAGTGCCCTGCTTCAAAAAAAAAGGAGAGCCCAGAGCTTTGGTGTTCTGGGAAAGCCTTCACCATCCATTAGAAACATGCACAGACCAAGCAGATGTGTCAGTACCTCTCCTGCAGCCTCAAGCCCTGCCATGCTGTGAGCGTCTGTGTAGTATATTCCAACATCCAGAGTTTGTAGAACAGCATCATGTTGAGAATGACCAGCAGCACCAGACTAGAAAGAAGGACAACAGTCTGTTTAGCAGGAGAATTTCAGAGCCCATTGCTTGCCAGTCACAGCTGGGAAAAATGCCCAAGGCTTGAGGAGGTGTCTGGGGCCCAGGTCCACACGCTGCATGGGAGTGGGAATTTAATCTGAGTAAGGACCAGAACCCAAAACTTCACCTCGTGGAAGAAATGTGTGAGCAAGGAGAACAGAAAGAGAGAGATGACAGTTCAGGATGAGCAGATGTGCTGGATGCAGAGAAAGGGAGGGAAATGGGAGAGTAAAGAGGTAAAAAAAGAGAGAGACAGTACCTGAAACAGATCCTAATGGGAGCAGGGAAGAGAAAAGACGGAGTAGCTGCAGGTTAGAAACTGACACAGACCAGGAGAAACTGGGGTGAGAGGAGAAGGCTCTTAGACAGTGCAGAAGGGATAGTGGGGCAGGGAGGGAGAAAAGAACAGTGGGAAGAGAGGCAGGAAGGACAGAGCAGTACCTGTGTGCCTGCATTAGTGAGGAAACTTGCCCAGCACCTGAGCACTGGGAACACCACCCCAGGGAACAGATCCCAAACCCCCAGGCTTGTGTCTGTCTCTGAGCAGAGCAGCTATTTTGCTGGAAGAATCACCCATTCTCAGCAGTGCAGCCAGGCCAGAGGAGGATTCTGCACACACTATCAGGGCTCTCTGACCTAAGTGAAGCTCATCCTGTCAGGAGAGATTGTCTTGAAGATTTTGTAGCTTTCTATTATCTTCTCCTCAGGCCACTACTTTCCATCATCTTAGCTAGCACCTGGCTGGGGTTGCTGCTGCAAAATTCTGCGGTGTCCCACAGGGAAAAGGAAACACAGAAAGGAGTTCAATTTGAAAAGCAACTTCAATCTAAATCCCAGCTGCTTCCCACCTCACTAAAAGGTGGTTGGAACTTAAGGAGAAACTCAGCCTGAGTCAGAAAAACCTTCTAGGCCTGGATTGTTCCTTTACACTGTACTGCTCCTCAGCACCTACCCAGCACCAACACATGAAACCTAACATCAGCCAAGGACCAGAGAAACAGCAAATACACCTGAGTTCAGGTACTAAACTGATCCACAGGGATACAAGGGGCCCATTCCCAGCTGACTTTGAGCACACATCCAAGTCCAAGCCTAGCAACTGTGAAAAGTATGGCAGAAAAGAGACCCAAACCATAATTCTTGCTGCTGAATCAGTGAAATCATAGCAATTTCTCATGCTTCATGTATTTCTATCCTTATTTTGCAGAAAACATTCCTAAACAATCCAGCTTCTTTCTGAGATGGGACTTCTCATCAAAATTACTGCCCAGGACCAGACTCAAACAGGATTTGCCAAACCAGAGACAAGTAACAACAGACAGACACTGAGCCCTGCTGTGATAGCACAGTGAGTCCCAGAGAACTCTGCATGGTCATTGCTATGATAACAGCTAATTGGTGAGCAGATTACATTAAATGACTTGTTGTAAGTTAAAAACCCCTCACAGTCTCTGTATGTCATGGAAAATGTCTAAACTGAGTTCTTGAAATAAAAAAAGACTCTTTTTACTTGTTGGATTTTTTCTTTTCTAAGTATTAACTCCCCTCTCCTTGCACAGCAGCTCCTCACCTTGCTTGCCACTATCACCACTGCCTGTGTCCCAGGGAGGCCCCAGACCTGCATTAGGACTCCCAAAACATGGGAGGTCTGTAAAACTCTGTGTTTGGTTAAAACAAGGGAAAAACCAAGGGGAAAGGAGACAAGGGAGCACAGAACACCAGAAACACAGAGAAACCAGAGTTGTTCCAGGCTGACTGAAGGAAAGCAAAAAAAACATCACTTACACAAAACTGATGACAAGGAGCAGCTTGGAGACACTCTGCAGGTGGAAGCCACTGGGGCTCTCCTCAGGGATGTGCCTTGTCTGAGTGGAACCTGAGGAGATGGATGCATTTAGGATAGGAAATCCTATCCAAGGGGCAGGACAACCCTCTTCCCTCAGCCCACCCCTCCCTCTCCCCCCAAACACTCACAACACATCCTCCTTGCCCTGCAAACCCCTAGCCCCTTTACTCCCCATGAGCAAAGCTCCTGTTGTTCTCCATCCTAAGGGTCTGCAGCTCCTTACCTGCCACGTGCTTGATTCGATGTGCCACATCCTCATCCGTGGGGGTGGTGACAGGGCTCAGCACCTCCTCCAGGTGTGGCACCCTCAGGTGGGCATGTGCCCGTTTCCTCCGGCGCACGGTCGATTGTTTGCTCACCTTCTCTTTGGGGGATTGTCTGTGCACCTCAGCCAGGTATGTGCTCTCAGTTTTGGTCAGTTCACTCTCTGCATAGGCAGAAAGGGAAAGCTGTTAGGAGAAGTGGCACTGGATTTGCAGAGCTGGAGACTTCAGCCCTCTAATAATGGCACAGCTGTTGGGCCAAGGGAGGTGTCAAGGTCTGGGGGAATTCATGCTACAGGACACACTACTTTACACCTTTTGCCAAACTCTGACCCCAGACTGCCTGCCAGAGAGCAGGATTTGATGCCCTAATTAGAGCATTCATTATACTATAATTAATAATGATGGAGTCACTACAAGCCACTCCGAGGCTGCATCCCTAAGCTGTCATGTTTGCAGGGAGGGATGCCTAAACCATGGGAAGGTGACACAGTTTGTGTGTCATTGCCACTCTTTCTTACCCAAATGACGGAAATAATCTTCCAGGCCACTCCAAAAATTCTTCTCAATGAAGGATTTCACCAGCCCCCAAGGCTGTTTCCTGTAACGTAACTCTGTGGAAACCCTGATGAGAAGAAAGGACTGTTATTCTCCCACTTTTGCTTCCTGAAAGCAACATCAACTCACAAGCCTTTGTCAGTGTAAATACAGGAAATCATCATGCACACTGTTATTTCTGGGATGGTCTCAGCCCTTCAAGGAGAAGCACTGCATGAAAAGTCCTTCCAAAGGCAGGAAGAGCCTCTCCCAAGAGTACCCCAAAGACCTTGGGCCAATGTGGCAGATAGTAGATTAGGGAAGAGCCCAAGAGTACCCCAAAGACCTTGGGCCATGTGGCAGATAGCAGATTGCCTATCAAAGTTAAACACAAATCCTATAGCTTTGCCTGGTACCAAATTCCTCTGCTCTTCCCCCCAAGCACATCTCAAGGCACAGTCCCTGGAAGTATGTCCTGTTGCTTAGTAGTTGATTGTGTGTGTGACAACAGGCCCTGCAAACCACTGCCAAGAGTACCCCAAAGACCTTGGGCCATGTGGCAGATAGCAGATTGCCTATCAAAGTTAAACACAAATCCTATAGCTTTGCCTGGTACCAAATTCCTCTGCTCTTCCCCCCAAGCACATCTCAAGGCACAGTCCCTGGAAGTATGTCCTGTTGCTTAGTAGTTGATTGTGTGTGTGACAACAGGCCCTGCAAACCACTGCTTCCAAGAAGGGACAAGAGGTCTATCAATCCTCTCCCTGACCCAGATGGAACTCCTCTGGATTGGGTCTGTTGTTTGCTGAATGTCACCACAACAGTCACCAGCCCCTCAGGTAACTGTGACAGGAGTGCTCCAGCCACAGGAGAGAGAAACAAGGCTAATTTCCCCTCAACCCCTTCTAACACACCAAACAGCAAAACTCCCACCCAAAAAGTGACTTTTGGGTCATCAGCAAAGCTCTTTACCCCCCCCAAGAATTGTACCTGAGTCGGCTTTTGTTTCTGGCAACACGAGTCAACGTGTAGCGGTTAATGGTGTAGAAATAATCATGGTAGGGGACGTCGTGAGTTAGCACCTCTGCATCTATGACATAGCACTCGCTTTCTTGGCTGGCTTTGTACATTGTCTGCATAAAAGACAGCATGCAAGGCAACTATTAGTCTGGTTAGAACACAGCTTGGAGAGATTGGCACCTTCTCTAGCCCTTTACACAGCAGCTCTACCACAAACAGCCACATCCCACACACTCTTACCCCATCTCTGCTGGGAGCAGCTCAGCCTCCAGGGAAGGCAGACCAGGAAACCAAGTGTTTCACCCAGATGTTTCCCAAGGGTGTATTTCAGAAAAGGGTATTCAGTTCCCACAGCTCAACCTCCAGCATTTTGTAACAGAGAGGTTACATCCACTGCCATGGGAGGTCCAGTTCTTTGGGACCTTTCCAAGTGTGACTCCTGTTCAGTAAACTCATGTCTGGCTTGTCAGGGACCAACCTGAGCTAAAACCAGAGGTGGCCTTGCTTTAGGCAGAGGCCTTGCTACTGTACATTATTCTGTGAATCTAAACACCATAAAAACATGGCAAGGACTTCTTTTAAGCACTTCTGATCTGCTGCTTTCTTTGCTCCGGAACAAACCTCACAAAGGGAACAGACAGTTGATTACAGAGTGTTTCCACTTACCTCTGTGGTACACAGCAAGGTGTACCTTGATGGTTGACCCCAAACTCAGAATGAAATAGGCCACGTCCCTGTTTGCCTCAAAGTGTGCTGTTCTCTTTGCCCATCAATTTGCTCTCCCCTTTCCTTTCCCTTCCCTGTTTCATCCCATCCTCACAAGTTACACCTTGCTGCTGGGATTCTCCTCTCCCTGGAATGTAATGCTTAGACATCCCTTCCTGGCTCCCTCTTACTATTCCCTCAACCTAATGCTCAGTATTTACTTTTTGGCCACTTGAGCATATCTCTGGACATGGAAAGAAGCTTTTCCTCCCTCTCCAGCTGCAGCTCCTACTAGATACAGCTAGCCTGGCTCCTCCCAGAGCATTGCAGGTGCTCCTCTTTTTTACCTTCTTAAATAGATCATCTCCTTGTCCTCACCATACTAACAAAGCTTGGACATCTCTCTGTAGAGTTGTGAGAAGGACTGGCAAGACAGTATATTCCTTGTGCCCTATGCAGGAAAAACCTCTGCTGGATTCACCACAGCTCAAACCCCACCAGTATGGGTGACAAACACTAGTTAGAATGTGCTGGGTTTGTTCACAAACTCATCTGCTTGTGCTGGAAAACTAGTGACCCTTTCCTTGCAATGCAATCCAGCGTGAGTGTAAGATTAGCTCTTCATGTTGGCAGTGAAACTGGGTAGCAAGTTAACACAAGGAAATGTGCAAAGGAAAATGGATAGGGACAGTGAAAACATGTAAAGCAACATGCCCAAGGCAAGAAAACAGCTCAGAGAGCAGTTTGTACACAGCATCACAGCCCTGTTCCCCTTCCACATACCTGTGTCTCAGTGACTGTGGCAGTTTTGGGGGCCAGAGGGTTGGTGAGGGTAATGGTGTACAAGATCACTCTGGTCTGATTGCCATTTTCTTCCTTCTTCCAGGGGTGAAAGATAATATCTGAGAGGACAAAACAATATTCCAGTCAAGTAATTGGAGAGGCATCTTGGGTCAGTTCCCTGGGGAGAGGCAGAACCATATAACAAGCTTGGGACAGTATTTCCTTCCCCTTGGAGAGCCTGGCTGCAGGAGCACTAGAGCTCAGCTGTGTGAAAGAAAGGTCTCCTGTACTAGATGGGAAAATTTTCCCTTCTTTTAAGTGGGGAGAGGCTGGGAAGATCTCTCCTTTCAGCAAACCTGAAGTTACAGGGAAAGGAGGACTTCAGCATCCCAAGGTTCACTCTGTTTACATCATCAACTGCACAGTCCACGCCAGTGTGTGGTGTGGAGCTCGGAGAGCTTTTTTCCTCACACTGTTGAGCCTTGAACACAGGATGAAGCCTTAGCTGATGCGAAAAAATAAGAGACTCTACTTCTTTGAAGCATAAACTCTGTTCTGACTCTTAGCAAATGAAACTCGATGGGCACACAAGGCTGGTTCTGTCTGCTCCTACAGTACAGACTACACTGTCCCAAAATCTGCTCAGAATGTTATCCAATCCCTCTGTCAGGCAAAGTTACACCTCCAAGGCATGTGCCAAGACCTTCCCTCTGTACCTTGGGATGCAGCCTCTGTCCATGCCCTAGAGCAGCTTACCAGAGAAGCGACGCTGCTCCATGAAGTCCCTCTGGAACTGGGAGTCAGTGAAGAGCAGGTCATACAGCTTGTCCACGCTGAAGTTGAACACCTCATTCACATACTGACGGCCATTCAGGTCCTCATAGAAGGCCTGGACTTCCCCTGTGAGGAAAGAGGCCCACAGGGCCCAGCATGACCCTCTGTGCTCATGGAGGTTGTGCTTTCACAGCACCAAGACCTTAGTATTTTAATGTCACACGAGTCAGTGAAGAGCAGGTCATACAGCTTGTCCACGCTGAAGTTGAACACCTCATTCACATACTGACGGCCATTCAGGTCCTCATAGAAGGCCTGGACTTCCCCTGTGAGGAAAGAGGCCCACAGGGCCCAGCATGACCCTCTGTGCTCATGGAGGTTGTGCTTTCACAGCACCAAGACCTTAGTATTTTAATGTCACACAATAAATCAGGTTGGAAAAGACCTCTCACCGAGTCCCGTCCAACCTATGACCTAACACCACCATGGCAACTAGACCATGGCACTAAGTGCCACGTCCAGTCTCTCCTTAAACACCTCCAGGGATGGTGACTCCACCACCTCTCTGGACAGCACATTCCAGTGTCTAATCACCCTTTCTGTGAAGAAATTCTTCCTTAATGTCCAACCTAAACCTCCCCTGGTGCAGCTTCAGAACCCAAAAGAGGTACTTCTAACTCTTCCTCCGCAGATCCAAGGACAATAACTGGAACATCAGAAGGGGTAATTAACTACACAGCTGATTTTAGGGAGATCTTTCCAAATACACATCCCCACATTTACATTCTGCATCCCTCAATGGGAGTTCTTTGCATCTTCTGAACTCTTAGGGTCTAGAAAAGGAATTCAGTATTGGCCACTCCAATTGCTTTCTGGAAAGGATAGGAGAAGGCTGAAAACACCACTGGTGGGAAGGCTCTTCCCCACACACCTTCATCATGGGTGTCTGACGAGTCACTGAGCTCAGTGGGAATGTCCTCGTTGTCGTTGAAGTCCAGGGAAGGGGAGTTCACAGGGCCTATGATGTCAATCTTCTCTCCCATGATATTTGCAATGCCAAGGTCTTTCTCCACAGGACTCTCTGCCACTGCCTCCTCCTCTTCTGGGAGCACTCCATCGAACTGCAGCAAGGACAGAGCATAAGGAGGGCAAGATCAGCACCTGGAAACTGGGGGTTATTTCTGAAAACTTTCCACCTGTGAGTCAGTTTTCTATCTTTGGACATTTGGCCTCAACATGCCTGGGAATTAAGTAATAGAGAGAGGAGGAAGGTTGCCATACAGTGTTTGTAAAACACATGGATGTATTGGATCACCTCCTCTCAAAGAATTGATGGATTTCAAGCCTTGGACATGACAAGGCCTTTTGTTCAGACAAGCACACAAACAGTACTGGTTTTACCCCTGAACAAGTCCTATACAGCTAAAACCCCTGAGGTTCTATCTAAACAAGGGAATAAGTGAAGGCAGGGAAGAAATTATAACCCTTTTATGTCCAAGACTCCACTTCTTTTCATCTCAAAGTATAGAAAGGAACATGGACTTGCTGCTAAGTGTCCCAGCTCACTGGGTGGTAGGACAGGAACTTGGCTCACTGTTTCTTGGCAAATGCCATGCTCAGGATATCACTGACCAAGGACTGAGGTCAGCAGCAGCAGTGGAAGAAGAGCTGCAGGGTAAAGAGTTCCCTCATAGAGCCAAGGAGCAGCTGGATCCCAGGGAAAGGCTCCTGAGAACACTCACCGAGGGTGGTGCTTCACTGCTCCCCGTGGATGTCAGTGTGCTGGCAGTGACAGATTTCTTTGGCAGCTGAGGACTAGCTTCTGGCTTGGCCTCCATGCTGCTCTTGGAGGAGCTGTCATTTACTTCATTCTCTTCCACAGGGATTTCTTCACAGTAGCTGAAGCCACAGAGAGCACAGGTTTTATATTTACCCCTCTAAGTACAGCTGCAACTGGACACATAGAGCAAGTGGCAATACTTCTCTGAGGTTTCCAGCCTGGCTGGAAGCAGAAATGGTTCAAGTGCAGGGGAAGATCAAGCCCAAACGTTTTTCAAGTGTTTATACACAGACTGACAAGCATCAGCACTTTCTGGCCATGTAACTCACTGGCCTTGTCACTAGGATTCTTTGGCACAGACACAATTGCTCAGCTAGCTCAGCAGGCATTGCAGTCCCTACCAACTTCCAGGAGGAAATGGTACTTTCATCTTTGTAGGCATTGCACATTTAAGGGCAAACCTTTGGCCAGATCCCAGAATTTCTCCCCAGGGACCATCAGCACTTTGAGGTATGCAATATATCCTGCTCTCCTGAGATCTTTGCTTCCTCCCAGGAAACATTCACTGCTCCTCACTCACCCCATTGTGTTGAAGTCATCATCAGGAGGCACATAATCTTCATCATCACTGGTCAGACCCAGCTCGTTCCCATAACACTGGTGGACAAAGTGCCAGAGCTCCTTTGGACACAAAGGCTAAAGGAGGGAAGAGAGAACAACACACATTTGCATCTGAGAATACAATGAAAATTTGAAAATTACTGTTGGTCAGAACATTCCTTGCCCTGCAAGGAGAAGTGAGATATTCTGGCTCAGCCCCTGCTGGGAGGTGAGAGCCTTCCAATGTGAAATTCCAGTTTATGGCATTTATTTTGTTAGCCCAAACTGGCTTAGAGGTTGTCCCCATCAAGCACCAAGAGGCCCTTCCACCAATAACTTCACCACTGTAAAAGGTTGCATATGTGTTTGTTCATTAAACCCTGAATTAAACCTATGAAAAAGCTGTCACTAGAAATAAAAACCACATGTAAAAAGCATAGGGCAAATACATTCAGAAAACTTTAGAGAAAGATATCCTGTTGTAAGTAAAAGAATTTACTTAGTGCTTAGAAAGGGGAGGGAGGATGAAACAAAGAAGCTAAAAAGATTAATCAATGATGTACTGGAAGTTGCTTGCTAAGCAGCTGGCACTGCCTGCTTGTGCCTGCTCCACACTGACATGCACACTTCAAAGGAAGAGGATACTGACCAGAGCTAAGGAGGAATTGATAAGAGGAATAGGCCCCAAGAAAGGAATTTAGGGAAGCACTGGCTGGGTAAACAAAGCAGGCTCCAAAAAGCAATTAAGGGCCTGTTGAGTGAACCAGGGAGGAAATAAATCAAGACAGCAGTTCACAACAGGATGTTACCTTATCCTACCAAATGTACAGAACACTAATTTTAGGATTGTTTTAGCTTACTAACACAAGAGTGCTGAAAAACAAAGTAGGGTAATACATCCCGTGAAGGAATGCTATGAGTTAAACAATGTATGAGAGTTAATTACACATGTCCTATAGAGTAGAGAATGGATGTAGAAGGTTAAAAGTCGCTCGGTACATCAGGAAACCGACACACAAAGGCATGGGGTGAGGAATCTGCAGCTCCACGATCGCAAAGCGCCGGGAGCACAGCCCTAGCAACAACGGGAACAGACGCCATGGCACCGACCCGCGCATGCGCGGAGTGCGCCGGAAGAGCCGCACCGGAAGTGCCACACCGGAAGAGCCGC